AAGCTACAGACAGAGGCTGGGCCCTAAACTGCAGCTTTCGGGCTGACAGTCGACTGAGGTTGCAACCGCGGAAGCAGAGACCATGATCTGCTCGGCCCAATCGACTTGAAGCGAAAGTACTGGAGCAGAGTGCCCCGTGAATGTAGCCATCTGCTGTGCCGGATTTTCGGCACTGTTGCTTTTGGAAGATATGTCCCACCTATCATGTTCGTACGAGAGAAGCACCTCCCGTGTGAAATAGCATTATGTCTGGACAATTTGGACGTTGCAGCCAGGATGCAGTTCGATCAGCTTGCCACAGCCACAAGCTGCCCGGTGCATCTTCCAATTAACAACGAGGCATCCGACTCCACCGGGTCCTGCGCCGATCGAGCCGTCGATTTGAGCATGTCCCTTCGAAGCACTGGGATTCTGCCGCCTTCAGATTCGCCCCTGTACAGACTTCGATATTTCTTGCTGCTTTCGATAACAACACATGTCCGACTTGCTAGTGTCCATTCTTGCGGATAGTTTTTCTCGCAAATGGCTTTCTCAAAACTGTCTTGCAGCAGTGCCTGATCCAGCGAAGGAACGCAGCGGAGTCGAGCTGTCCAGTCTCCACATCTTCAAGTCGGATCCCAAGCTCCCGCTGATCATGCGGTGATTTTTCCAGTCAACGTCAACGCACCTGTAACTGGATGTCAGCTAACAGTAGCATGTGACTCCCCCAGTTGCTGTGATCACATCCGTGTCATTCACTAGTGTCGGACTGTTTTTTGCATCTAAGTCGCAAGACTTCTGATGGATGTCCAGCATAGGTCCGCAGCACATTGCCGTAAAAATTCCACATCTTCAGCGTGTGGTCAGCTGATGCCGTCACCACATTCCTCACGGCAGATCTGGCAGTCTGCCATGTCAGATGAGAAGCAACAGCCGGTGCAAGCCTCGAGGACCAATCCACAGCGAAGCAATTGAGGTTCAGCTTGTGCGGGTCCTCTGCCAGGCGTAGCAAGCTGCCACGTAACAGGCCCCCGCCCCAGATGCCCCGGCCTTCACCTTCTCCAAGTGCCTGATATCCTCAGCGCAACACCACAGCCACAGCTGCTTGCAACACACCAGGTCTTAGCTAAGAGCATGGCATCCTCGACACTGGTATATCCTCAGCTTCAACTTCAACGGAGCATGTCAGCTGCAAGAAATCGCGAGATGCATCGAACCTCTCTGCACATCTGTCTGCGGTTCATGGAGCTCTGGTTGTGCGGTGTCCGCACCCCCATCGCCTCCAGAACGCTACCGCTTTTGTCGAACTGTTTGATCTCGCCTGTCGAGGAAAGTGGAACTCAGCTCCACCGAGGGGGAGACAGCACAGCTTCGCGACTAATTCAGCATTTTCATGTCTTCGCTGCCTGTATAGGTAACAGCCATGACAGCATCAAAGGGGATTGCTGCCACGGCTGCAGCCTCTGATTGGCTTCTTTCCAGCGCGGCTTGCAGATCGGGCACAAGGGATGTCTGCTTCTTCTTGGCGAGGGTTTTCTTTCCGCCCTGTGTCCAAGCCACGAACTCATTGTAATCTATCGCACCTCAGCGCAGCAAAGTGCAGCAACCGGCGTGCATTAAGTGTGGCGCCACGGCAGCCGTGATCCCAAACCACCAGCACAAGTGATTTGGAGGCCCTGACACACACACACACACACACACACACATACACGCTTGCACACAAACAGGCCCTGAGAACACATGTCACCAGAAATGCACATCAGCGGCCAGCGGAATCACACAAGATGTACTGTAGACAGTCGGCACAAATGCCAAGTTCGAAACTTCAGCGTGCGCCCAAAGTATGCAAGCGATGTCAACATTCAGCCAGGTGATATGTTGTAGCACCGCTCGGAAAAGCAGAACCCCAGTGCGGACGCTTAACCTTGAGATGGTTTCCTGGAGCTCGGAAGCGTGCCAGGTCCGATGCGGACTTGCTGCAACCCAGAGTGGACGCTTAACCGGCTGATGTTTCGTAAAAGGCTGGACACATGCAATGCCTGATAGTCCCTAAATGCCAAACGCCAGTGTGGACGCTCAACCGGTACATGCTTTGCAGCAGCTTGGCCGCGTGCCAGGCCCGGTTCCGAAATGCAGATACCACCGCGTGCTCACAAGCTGTGTGCACACAGCGGGCCGATTGATCGATCAAGTGTGTTGCAACAGCACATGCTCCGTAAATGAGACTGACAATCGCTGTAAGCATTGTGTGTATGTGTGTGTGAATTTATTCATTACTTATTTATCTATTTATATGCATGCGTTCGCAAAGACATACCCTCGAGTTTTGAACCTTCAAGATGTCTGGCAACTGCTGGCACAAGGATGTTGTATCTTCATCAAGGTACCATCATTGTTGGTGTCGACTTCACGGAGGATTTGCCCGATTTCAGCGACGGTGATGTCCTTGTTGATCCATGTGAGCACATTCTGCAGCTCGGATGCTGATATCCTGGTACACGATCAGACACTCGCTACAGTGCGGAGCATTCAGCATTGCTCGTGTCCCATGCCTTCCATTCCCATCTTTGTCGAACTTTTTGAACAGCTCCTGCAGCCGAGAAAGCTCAAGGATATCAGAGGGGCTGAGACCGAGGCGTCCTGGATCTGCGATGCAGACATGTCAGCAGCGCGAAATTTGAGAACGTATTCAGAACTGTGTGCTGTCTGCAGGGGATAGGCGTGCAGTGCCGAGTTGTGTGGGTTCTACACATGCCGTGGGCGATGTTTTCGCCTTGGGGCAATCATTGGAGCCTAAATGTGCTCAAGATGGTACGGTTGCTTCCCCGACGTCATGAAGATCTCTCCTCGCTCCTTCGATTGTCGTAGATACTTCAAGTGAGCTCAACAGAAGGTTTGCACAAATCTCTTTTCTTGCCGCACAGGCGCAAGCACATCTGTGCATGTTGAGCTTGAGCTCATCCTACCTCAGTCATCGTCTGCTTCCTCCTCTTCCTCCTCGTCTCACAGTCGCTGACACTGGCGCAGTACAGGCGATGCAGTGATGTTAGCTATGGGCCAACGGGGTGGCTGAGAGTGTTGTTATGTGTGCAGTCCTCTTCTTCCGAATCGTCTCCTCCTTCGTCAAGGTTGAAATGCAGCAGGCAACAAATCGAGCTGTGAGTCAGGTAGTCTGCATGTAATGCAATTAGGGCTTCTCCTGCATTCTGACTGGCTGTAAAGCTCACCGGCAACCCGAGAGCCGCCATCTGCTTCATCTCTTCCGATAAAGCTTCCTTGTCCATTCAGGTTGATGCTCGTCGACATGCCACCCCTAAAACTTTCTCAATGCTCCTGCGGCTGGCCTTTTGATGCAGCAGGCGCCTTGGCCGAGCAGGCTAGGCTGGAGCCGATCTTCTCGGGAAGCCGTACTCCGAACCTGGCCTTCTTCGTCTGCACTTCATCCTCTTCTTCCTCTTCCTCGTCGCTGTCGCTGTCGTCGAGCTGCGGTTTGCGGACTTGTGGAACCTGGCGGAATGAAGTTGACCAGCATTTCCAGCCTCTCATTTCGACGGCGAGTTGCCTTGGAAGCCGCTGCTTTCCCAGCCTTACCTTTTCCGCCCTTACCACCTGAGAACAGGCCAAGAGGCGCAGCACAAGGGCGCGAACAAAACCTATGTCACGGGCACACTGAAAACACCTTGGGAACAGACCTTCCTGCCCGGATCCTTTCCGAGCTTCGCCCTTTCCAGTCTTCCCACCGCTCTTTCCTTCACCCTTTCCTCCCAAGAAATTGCCAGTGCATCGCGCTACATGGCAGTCCCACGGCAGTGCTGGCACTGAGCAATGGCTTTTCTGGCTGCAGAGCGTAGTCCGCAGGTAAGCTGCTCCATGGCCAACGACTAGATTCACTGGATCAACTGTTCGCCAATATGGTGGCAGCTATGGTGATGCTACCAAGAACAGCTGATGTTCATGCTGGCTTGAAGTCTGGTGGCGATGTTCCTCATCTATAAGTGTAACCTGCCTAAGTCTAATGAATCTTGCGATATTGTAGTTATGCAAGGATAAAAACTCTCATGGTGATGATGCTGATGCTGATGGTGACGATGGCGATGGCAGTGATGACGGCGATGATGACGGTGGCGATGATTGGATGGGTCAGCGGGGGTGCCGTGCCCTCAATGCTCTTGCAGCGGAGTCGTCTTGACGATCTGAGAACTGAGACCGTGCCGTCGCGGCTGATGCTCGACGCACCTCGACGCTGGCCCACGTCAAGCTTGACGTCTCCGCTCAGGGCCGAAGAGCGCGCGCAGATCCTGCTCGCAGGACGGCCCAAAAGCAGTTTCATAACTGTCTTTAACTGCAAGCGGCGGCGCCGATGGTGCAAACGCAGGGAGCAGAAAGGGTTGTGGTTGTTTCGGCATGGGGTTGTGGGGCGTGGGCTTGTTGGGTGGGGTGGGGTGAGTGGACAGGCAAAACACGGACACACGGAGAAAAAAACAGCAACAACGTATATGCCCTTCACCTTGTCTGTCTTGTCATCGATGGCTCGGCCCTGACCGTCGCAACACTCATCGCCGCTTCTGTCTCTATATATATATATATATATATATATTTTTTTTGTTTATTTATATAATTTATATATATATATATATTTACCTCTCGACCCGCCTGCATAGTGAGCCGGATGCACTTCCTTCAAAACCTTGCCATGCGGTCAATACAGAAACATGCATCCAGGCATGTTCAAGTGCAGCTGCTCTGCATCATGACTACAATCCCAGTTCCATGCGCTGACGCTTTTCATCTCCAGTGTTGTTGAGATTGTGCGCCGCGAGCACTCTACTGCGCAGGTTCATCAAAAACAAGAGCAGCATCTCCGCTTTACGACAAACACTGGCCTGGCAGTATGATTTCAGACTGGACGTTTCGAGCTTTTGGCGAAGTTGATGCCGACGTTCACTTGGAGTGACCCGAGCCGAAGCACTGCCTCTGTGATGCCGGAAGTGCTCGACTGAGCACAGCGCAGGATTTGCCGGTCATGGCGTCGCATCTTTCTGCTCGGAGTACACCAGGTCGCTGTAGTAGCATGTGTGCTTCTGCGCTGCAAGATTGATCGCAGGGATTGAGCGAAACAAGATACGATTGATGCAGCGATGCGGGACAGCACACCGCGTCACAACTATTGGCCTTCCACGGAAAGCGATCGCGGCATTTGTTTACGTTCCCGTTCAAATCCTCAAAGACCTGGCAAGCAGATCTGCCCGTGCGGCATGCGGCTGTTCATGAGTGTGGCGAGAGATGCGCGGCAACGAGAGCGTGGGAGATGCTTGAGAGCATACGAGGTGCGGGTCTAGAGAAGCTGGAATGACATCAGATGATCCAGATATATCCAGATGCTTAATGGCAGCACGGCGGGCCAAGCGCGGGAGCCAGCCTGGGGCCAAGACCTCAGTATACCAGCAGGTGCCTCAACAATGGCAATGATGCATCCGAGCAGCCCGCTCACTTCCGTGGAGTAAAGTTGGTGTTTCAATTGTGGACTTTTGCGGGGCTTTCAACGCAACACCAATGCTGTTAAGACAAAACCTGAGAACAAAAGCCGGTCCTACACCTTGCCAACTTGCTGAGAGTTCCACTGCATCGGCCCGAGGGTACAGGAAGAAAGGCGTGGAGATGCGATGCTGGCATGTGGAGAGCATCATGAGCCCGAACATCAGAAGAACAGGAGCAAGGCTCTATACCGCTCTCCATGCAGGTCCCCGTGCAGCCTCCATCGATGAAGCAGCGGAGCCTTGATAGGCTGGATATGGCCATATCTTCTGAGCAGCCAGCCCATGACAACTGAGGCAAATACTGCCTCTGCATACAGCCGGCCTGTGAGAGTGCGTGAAACCCCGACACTGGACAAATTCTTCTCGAAGCATCTCAAAGCATTGTTGCATCAATGATTCGACAACTTTCACAAAAAATACTGGATCTCGAAAGCTCGTCGACACCCAGTCACTGGTAGCATCAAGACAATCCTGTCGCAAGTCGCAGCCCCGGTGAAGATTCTGCATCTGCCAAGTGCACACAGCTGCAAGAACGGTCTCGATCACTTCTTATATATACCCTCGCAATTAGCGCAAAACATCCCCCACAAACGACCTCTGAGAACTTGTGACATTGAAACCTTCCTCTACCAAAGCAACGGCAGGCACTCACAGTCTTGCCTGTGCATCAAGGCAGGATACCTGTGGCCAGAAGCATAGTCCTGGCACCGAGAACCGTCCAGGTATCATGCCGGGACTGCACCAGCGAGCGCTGCTACCAAAGACTTTCAGCCGGGGACCAACGGGTCTCCGACAAAGAGAAGTGCTTCACCATCATTCAACAAGTCCTCGTGCGGGAAACCAACATATGTTGGAATTGAAGTCGTGGATGCGATGCAAACATCAGGTAACCTCGATATTGAACCACTCGCCGGTCTGGAGATCCTTCACCTGCTGCCGAACTCACCGACATTGCACAATGAAGGTCCATCACGCGATCACTAGGTCACTAGGAACCTCCAACCCGGGTGCAGAACTCTTCGGTGCGACTGTTATCAAGGATGAGTCCGTATGGGCTGGATACCTTGGCTCAAACAGCGTCTTGTACCGCCTGCATACACCACGCGATTCAAGCGCCGCACATCCCAGGAGAATCAGGACGAAGCATGCGAAGCTTGTCCTATCTGGTAGGCGCAACACGAGAGATTTAAAAAAAAACACGCTTAAAGACACAAGCCGGGGCCCCGGCCATTCCCACGGTAATTGATTTGCCGCCTCTGGCACTCAGAATCGCCTGCAGAGAAGTCCGTGCAACGAGAAACTGACAAACTGAACCAGTGGCCCAGCGCCCTTGGCCAGCTTCACTCTCAAAAAACAAAAAACAAGCTCAAGTTAGCAAGATGCGACATGGATAGATGCCAGATTGCGCGTGAGTCTGTTCACGACCCTGCAGAATCCGAATCCTGCGCTCTGCGCTCAGTGTTTTTTGCACAGGCAGTTGTTGACACAACCCCAATATTCCTGCTTCTGCTTCCAGGATCGAAGAGGCTTGACTACGGCACGGATATGGACGGACACTGCATGACGGTCGGGAACAAATTGCGCAACAAGAGCGGTACCACCGGCAATGAGCAGAACCGCCATGCTTGTTGTAGCGCCGTGCTGATAGGACATACCGTCAGCAAGTCTGCGCTTCTGTCGGTGTGCAAAGGAGCCGCACCCCCATCGGGACCAAAGTTTGAAGTCCTCGAGTTTTCTTTTGAAGGGTTTGTTTACCGATGTTTACTGCATGCCGCAGGTGCTGTCGTTCTGTGATTTTCGATGCCAAAGAAGGAACTGTGGCCAAGTGCTTCAACAGTCGTCGGCCATCTGCAAACCAGCTTGGCAAACAACGGAAAGCGCGCTCTCGTCTGTCGAGGAGCCGTTGAAGTCCCTGCATGACGGTCGGGAACAAATTGCGCAACAAGAGCGGTACCACCGGCAATGAGCAGAACCGCCATGCTTGTTGTAGCGCCGTGCTGATAGGACATACCGTCAGCAAGTCTGCGCTTCTGTCGGTGTGCAAAGGAGCCGCACCCCCATCGGGACCAAAGTTTGAAGTCCTCGAGTTTTCTTTTGAAGGGTTTGTTTACCGATGTTTACTGCATGCCGCAGGTGCTGTCGTTCTGTGATTTTCGATGCCAAAGAAGGAACTGTGGCCAAGTGCTTCAACAGTCGTCGGCCATCTGCAAATCTGTGGCATTGTGCCTCCAGCCTTGATAGCATTTTGCAGCACTCGGCCCCGGGTGCGAAGCAGCCCAGGGTGTCGCCGCCGGTGCACGAGAGGCCATCTCTCACTGATCGGACTTGTGGGCTGCACCGGCTTCGGACGTCAGAGGTGGCTGCGAAAGCCACATGATCCAGCCCTTTGGATCGCTACTGTCTCCGAACCCTGCAAGCTCTGCAGAATGTCCCTGTTGTCACCGAAAGCTGTATGAAACTCCGTCACAAACTCCCTGGCCAAGCACATGTCTCGAATCCTTGCCTTGCCTCTTCTCAACACAGTGATTTCAAGTGAATGCCAGGTAGGAGGTGGCCTAAGCAGCCGGAGGACCCTAGTCCAGGCCACCAGGGGGTAGGGGGTGGAACCCCACGTGAAGGATTGATTTAGAAGTTATAAGACATGACCGCCCTGAGAGTGCTTGCAGACACAAAGTCTATAGTTGATGAAAGACAACTCTCGCAAGCTCCGGAAGAGCTTTGGTGAACGAAGTGAAACAAAAGAGAACGGGGCGGTAGCTCGAGCAGAGAGGCAGAGCTGGCCTCCGGTGCCCCGGCCAGCGACACTTCGAAGCCAGCCTCGTCCATACCAGTCACCGTGCCCTGCAGCCGCGCACCAAAGCCGTCACATGCCGTCTTGTGCCAGGCATCCTGCCTTGAGCCCATTCAGAGCGACCTCACCACCTTGCAGATTTACCAGCCGCACCTGACCAGGCTCTGACTCCGTTGCTTGAGCGTCTCTGGGAAAGAAAGAATTACGGCTCTTGCCCAACCTCCGCTCCCATAGCTATGCGTTGGCCGGTCACCTGGAGCATGAATCACGGATAGCTAGCAGTTGACTCTCCTTCTGTCCCACGGGTCCTCGGGCAAGTCTGCAGCACCCCTACTCTCAAGAGGGCGATCGTAGTGTATACACCTCGGCGATAGAATGCGAAAACTAGCGTGACATGAATGCCATCTTCAGCACAGCTACTGTAAACCCAGCCTGTAGTGCAGCCAAATCACCGCATGGTTGATGAGGTGTCGCTTGGCATCTTCTGCAGACCAACGCCGATGTCGCAACCAATCTGATTCATTTGCGACCCACAGGCATGACAACTGAAGCTCCTCCCTTCTGCACCTTGTGCATAAACGCTCAACACCAAATTGTCTGAAGTTCTGCAGAGACACCAGGATCACTTGGAACAACAAACTGCCATAGCGAGGCTAGAAAACTGAGGAGCTCGGCCCTTTCCCTTTCAGCTATCTTCGACCATGGTCCACTCCAAGCGTCGTCTCGAGTAGCGTGCCAGTGCAGAACGTGCCAACGTAACTAGAGAGGGAAGCTTACTTTTCGTTGCGACTCTGCACTGCACTGGCGATAGCATTAAGGACTGTCGCGCAACTTGAAGGCCAAAGCAAATGTAACGCAATCTGGATGAAATCGTTTCCCTGCGGAGGGGAGACGAATATTGCACTGGCCTGTGTGGCAAAATCCAGTGCCAGCTTCTCCAACACGGCAAAGGCTTCCATGGCCTGCAAGCGTAAGACATCAAACAGATGTCCTTGCATATCGTGCAATCTTGAAACTGTGCGATGGATGACCTTCCTCCCGTTCCATTTCGTGCGACGGGCGACCCGACAATTTCGGAAAGCTTGAGCTCGACTTCGATCCGGCACGATTAAACACTCGACTCTTTTCTCCTCATGTCGATCTCAGTCTTGCGGTGCTGCAATTGCACCTTTCAGCAAGGCTGCCAGCCGATCAACCTCGCAGGCAGGGCTGTGCGAAGACAGATTCGTGTTGCCTGTCCCGCCCTGCCCCAGAAACTATGTTTGCACGCGGGTCTGAGGGTCTGAGCAGTGCGGTCAGTGCTTGCCGAACTCGCAGCCTTGAGCCAAGAATTCATGGTCGATACCTCAGAGAGTACATGGGCATGGGCACCAGGAACAGAACAATCATACAATGCGCGGCACCAATGAAGTGCCGAGCAAGATGCCTGCGCAGATTCCTGCAATTGGGCAGAGGCTTTCCCCATGCGAGCAGGGGGTTACAGAAGTTTCAAACTGTCAGGGGATGGAGCACACACTGCTGTGCGCACCTGCTGAACCTGCTGCAGACTTGCACGAAGAGCTTTGCCTGCAGGTGCCTTCAGGAAGCCCCCACTGCAATTAGTTGTTTATGGCCAGTCTCGTCGCACCCGGGTAGGCACAGTCAACACGCCATCTCGTAAATCAATCAAGCGACATGCGCAGAAGGTATCCAGGATCCGGCAGCCGGTATCTGTGCCGCAGAGAGGTCAGCATCCTCGGCCATATACGAAGCGCTCTGGACAGGAAGACCGGTCACAGCATTCTCGACTCCGCCTCGTCCTTGGTCAGTGTTGCATCCACGTTGATGGTGCAGCTGGAGCCTTGCCAGCCAGCCTCGCACTCGCACATGCCTGCCTGACAGGTCACGGAAGCACAAATGCGGCAGTGCCAACCGATTCTTCATGCCACACCAAGAACTGCAGGCAGTCTGTCCATGCCCTCGCTAGCAGCTCAAAGACTCGGCGTCAAAGCAGCCAATAGCATACTCTCAACTCCTGGCCGCCTGGCACTTGCCATGGCCACTGCATCCTCCCGGACACATCAGAGCAAGCTCTTCGTCCTCTTTGGTGACCTGGCAGCTTGAACGCCAAACTCACACGCCTCAGCCCTGCTGTCAGTGAACCTAGAAAATTCACCCGAGGCCTGCAAGCTGGAAAGCTAGATCGGGAGCGGAGATGTCTGATGTGCTTGTCACATCCATGCTCAGGCTGAATGTTGCTATATAGACGAAGAAGGATGCACTCGCGTTGCGGCTTCTGCTGAAGTACAATGTTTGAGCATGCACCCAACATCAACCGACCGTTTACACACCTCGGGTACACGCCCAACCCGAACACTCCATCGAGAACCGCACCTGCTAAACGGACACATGACAAGTCAGACAGACAGTCAGTCAGTCAGTCGTATCTCAGCAGAAAACGCAAATTGCAGTGACACCGGATGTGAGATACAAGTGCCAGCATGACCTGAAAGATCTATGAAGAAGCTCGGCACATGGACGATCAAGAAAGAGAACAGTTCTTTGCCAACTTTGACATCCCCCAGGTTTAGCCTGCTGAAGCTGCAGCTGCAAAGGCGCAGACTTAGCCGCGGAGGTACCCATCAGCTCACATGCCTGGACAATAACATTGCAGCTGTCGGGCTGCTAAGTCCTAAGAGGCACATTCGCAGCACTCATCCGGGCTTCCAAAACGGCCTCTCCACGAAAACCTTCTTGACATTTGCATTGGCCGAGCCTCGAAGCCAGCAGGTATGGCAGGATTTGCATCCGTCATGGTATGGTCTTGGGCACTCGCCGGCACACACCTTTGCCGGAGCAGGTCGGATCTGCGCAGCTTCTCGTGTATGCCTGGATGAGTGGAAGGAGGAGTGCCGGCTCTTCCAGTCGACTGCACTGTACCAGATATCCTGCCCATAGGAAATACAACGACTTTAAGGGCGCAGCCTGCCTAGAGCAACTTTGGGCAAAGAGACAATGACGGATTCACAACAAGCAGCACCCGAAAACACACAAGCACGGCGTTGTGACAAGATCTCATATTGCACCGACATGTCCAGAGCGCAGCAAAGTCCAGAGTTGTCTGACGAGATCCTGGAGAATGCATCCATGAGCAACAGGAAGCGGGCACACAAGCCAAATTCCTGCAGCCAGCCTTTAAATCAGGACTTGAAAGATTTTGAAAAGCAGTCTCTCTTGCACTTCAAGGTGTTCAGTGCGATTCGATCTGCCAGGGCCCCTACTGGATAATGGCTCGAAAATGTGACGGTCAGCGAAGTCAGAAAACCCCACATTTACGTGCGTGTGGCTCGCAGAACCGCAAGCCCGGAATATGCCTGAGCTCTAACTAATGTAGCATCTTTCTTGCGGCCTGCAAAACCCAAATGGGGAACAGTGGACACACACGGAGTTGGTCGCTGCTGGCCTGAGTGAGGTCGAGTCTCGGCTTGGAAACAGGTTGAAGGTAGTCCTCACGCACACAAGTCACGACATGAAAACTCCTCCGAGTGGAGACAGAGATTGGCATACCCCCACACACACACACAGAGACAGGCCGACCCAAGTCCTGACATGCCGGTCCCGTCCAACCGTCGTGGCATATGCATGTACCCTCACGGCAGTCTCCACGGTTGTCGCAGTTCAGCGGACAAGCCTGCAGCTGCAAAAGCTTGCTGAGACAAAGCGATCGGAACAAGCTGGAAGTCGCCTTCTTCTGCTTCACCTCACTCTGCTCACTCTGCCTTGCAAGCTCCTCTTTCTCAGCTGCCAGACCTGCACAACACGATGCAACATCAGCAAGGCGACATCTGCACTCTGCTTTGATCCGCCTCGGCTGAGGATCGAGGCCAGCGAAAAGGGCTTTTCCAGGAGTTGAGAGCAATCCTGCAGCTGCTTTCCGAATGTTCTCACACTCCCCACCACTGCATCCCACACATCCCTCCGGCATTCTGGGTTGAACGATCCAGGAATGACACGCACTATGTTTTGAAATTGGTGGCAGCATATGTGAAGACAGGAACTGCTGCAAGCGCCCCCACCAGAGCTTCGTGACAAATGAGGAGGTATCTCAGAATTGTTCTCCAGATGCCTCTCCACCGAACTTCTCCGAGCACAGACATCGACCTGCACCGTTCGGAAGCGTGCAGCAACCTTTGATCGTTGCAGCGGATTCGCATAGCTGGGCCTACATGGCACTGTCCGTTTCCGCTGCAGTCATTGAGGCACCGCTTATGCTCACCTACAGAGCACGTCCAGAGAAAATTTGGAGATGAACTTCTTCCTCATCTTCAGTCGGGCTGCAAGATTGGCCGTAGTAGCCCTGTCTGCAGAGACACTTGCCAGCCAAGCAAATGCCCTGGCTGCTGCAGTCCAGGCTGCAGCTCCGGGTTCCAGCCTGCCACCAACCCGACCCAGCAATGCTCAACATGAAAGGCACGTCGGACAGTCTGGCTGGGATCGAGGCTGTAGACGATGCCTGCAGAACACATCGGCACAGCAGCCGTGCATGTGACAGGTGACATAAGCTCGGCCGAGCCTGCAATCCACGGAATTCGTGACCAGGGATTACATCCTACAGGGACGAGCATAGACTCCGACCGTGTCACCATGTCGGATGTCGGACACTGCACGAAGCGTGGGCTCCTTCTTGCTACGGGCCTTTCCGACGGCACGTGCAAGTGTTTCTGATGCTTCACGCTCATTCTCCATCTTCGCTGCCGCAAACAGCCTACAGTTCTGCAGTCAGACGGCACAGGCATCTGAATCCTTTACAGTCTGGGATCCGCGCTTGTCTGCGGTTGCCCACGCGCTTTCTGCCGCTCGTCGTGACTGCGCAAAGTTCTGAGCCACCACGTCGTTGAACTTCACTTCGGCTCGTCCCCCGGTGGACGAGAGAACCGCGGGGTCCGAATCCAACGAGTTTGTCGCCAAGTCTTTGTCTGACACTTCGGCGTCCATTGAAAGCTGGAAGCTGCAGTCACGTCCTGCCCAGGTGCCTTCACAGATGCATGTCCCGAGCAGACCACAGGATCCATGACCGGAGCAACCATTTCGGCATACCGCATCCACTGGCAGTAGCAAAGCCCCCAGCAGCGCCAGAGGCGCCAGCATGACCCGACTTGCAGTTCCCGTTGTTGGTCTAACAGGAACCTCGGCCTGGGTCACAAGCACCGCAAGCGATGCCCGCCTGATCAGTACGCTAACGGTCAGAAATTTTTCGAGTAAGAGCCATAGGGCTGGCTGCGGCAAGGCCAGCGTTGCTCAAGCTTGCATCACGACAAGAACCTTCGCATAGCGAACTACAACTGCAAACACTGACAGCAACCCTGAAGGAGTGCCAACACAAATGCACCTGCCATTAAAGGCAGCGGGAAAACCCTACTGCAATTTGAATTGCAATGCTGCTAAGGTTCCCAACGAGCTTGGATTGCCCGATTGAACCCCCCGTTTGCACTTGCAAGTTGTCCCGAAAAAATTGTGGCACGTAGCGGTTGTTGAAGTAAGCAGAGCGCTGGCACCAAGACGGCCAGTAAGCGATTGTATCAATTCTCACCCACAGTCATCAGCCGCAGCATCATAGAGCATGCATAGACATGCATGGAAACTCAGAGAGATGAACTCCTTCCCGCATTCATACACTCAGGCTTACGTTTGCAGGAAACCGCATGTATGAACATTTTTATACATGCCACATGTTTTTGTATGCATGCACACATACAGACATAGCAACAGACAGACAGACTGACAGACAGACAGACAGACGGACAGACCGATTGACAGACCTACCAGTACAAGTTCAAGCATGCATACATACATGCATGCACACATACACACGCGCGCATGCGTACGCACGCGCACACACACACACACAGGCCTGACACCAATGCATCTCAAGTCTCAAACCATGCACTGCAGAAAAACTAGAAGACAATTGGCCCGAAAGCATCATCAGCGAAGAGTGTTGCGCTATGTCATAGAATCCAGTGTATAGGGTCATAGAGTCACCGAGTCAAAAGCACGGAGTCACAGAGTCGGAGTGTCACATATAGTCAAGAGTCGTACAAGTCATAGTTCATAGAGTCATCGAGAAATAGAGTCGAGTACATGTCAAGCACAAGTCATAGTTCAAAGAGTCATAGAGTCATATAGAGTCATAGAGTCACAGTTAGACAGAATCATAGAGTCATAGTGTTATAGAGTCATAGCGTCAGAGTGAGAAAGAGTCATAGAGTCATGGAGTCATCTATGTACCACGCACTTGACTTGATGTAGTTCACTCTATGAACACTAATGTTCAGGTTTAGCGGTTTTAGGGTATAGTCCAACATGACGCAGAAGTCTTCCTTTCCTAGCTCCGGAACCTCACTATATAGACATCCCTGTTACTGTGGTTTCAACGTGACTCTATGACTCTATGCATGGTCACTTTATGTCGCAGCAGTAGTAGTAGTAGTAGTAGTTGTAGTTGTTGTTGTGGTACTAGTAGTAGTAGTAGTAGTAGCAGTAGTAGTAGTAGCAGTAGCAGTAGTAGTGGTAATAGTAGTGGTAGTAATAGTAGTAGTAGTAGTAGTAGTAGTAGTACTAGTAGTAGTAGCAGTAGTAGTAGTAGTAGTAGCAGTAGTAGTAGTAGTAGTAGTATTCTTTTGTAGTAGTGGTAGTAGTAGCAGTAGTAGTAGTAATAATAGTTGTAGTAGTGGTAGTGGTAGTAGTAGTACTAGTACTAGTTCGAACACTCGACAAGGCCAATCTCTGTGAAGGGTTGCAAGTTTCACTTCAATGCACATCAAAAGTAATAACTTTACCTCGCGTTCGAACACTCGACAACGCCAATCTGTGTGAAGGGTTGCAAAATTCATGTCAATGCACATCAAAAATTGCAACTTTACTTCGCGTTCGAACACTCGACCACGCCAATCCCTGTGAAGGGTTGCAAAATTCATCTCAATGCACATCAAAAAATGCAACTTTGCCTCGCGTTCGAACACTCGACCACGCCAATCCCTGTGAAGGGTTGCAAAATTCATCTCAATGCACATCAAAAATTGCAACTTTACCTCGCGTTCGAACACTCGACCACGCCAATCCCTTGTGAAGGGTTGCAAAATTCATCTCAATGCACATAAAAATTGCAACTTTACCTCGCGTTCGAACACTCGACCACGCCAATCCCTGTGAAGGGTTGCAAAATTCATTTCAATGCACATCAAAAAATGCAACTTTACCTAGCGTTCGTGCATTCGACCATGCCAATCCCTGTGAAGGGTTGCAAAATGCCAATCCCTGTGAAGGGTTGCAAAATGCAATTGAGCTGCGCCCAAACCCTGTGAAGGGTTGCGCGGCGCCCGCAAAATGTGTAACTTTACCTCGCGTTTGAACACCCGAGGAGGCGAATCCCTGTGAAGGGTTCACGGCGCCCGAAAAAAGTGTAACTTTACCTCGCGTTTGAACGCCCGAGGCAGCGAATCCCTGGGAAGGGTTGCGCGGTGCGCCTAAAATGTGTCACTTTACCTAGCGTTTGAACGCCCGAGGCAGCGAATCCCTGGGAAGGGTTGCGCCGGGCGCCTAAAATGTGTCACTTTACCTAGCGTTTGAACGCCCGAGGCAGCGAATCCCTGGGAAGGGTTGCGCGGTGCGCCTAAAATGTGTAACTTTACCTCGCGTTTGAACGCCCGAGGAGGCGAATCCCTGGGAAGGGTGCGAAGCGCACATAAAAATGTGTAACTTTACCTCGCGTTTGAACGCCCGAGGAGGCGAATCCCTGGGAAGGGTGCGAAGCGCACATAAAAATGTGTAACTTTACCTCGCGTTTGGGCGCCCGAGGAGGCGAATCCCTGGGAAGGGTTGCGCCGAACGCCTAAAATGTGTACCTTTACCTAGCGTTTGGGCGCTCGAGGTGGCCAATCCCTGTGAAGGGTTGCATTCCCGATGGACGACGACGACGGTGCCACCCCTGGCTTTAGAAGAGAGATTAGATACCGAGATGTAGAGAGTAAGTCAGAGAGTAAGTCAGAGAGTAAGTCACAGAGTAAGTCAGAGAGTAAGTCAGAGAGTAAGTCAGAGAGAAAGTCACAGAGTAAGTCATAAGTCAGAGAGTAAGTCAGAGAGTAAGTCACAGAGTAAGTCACAGAGTAAGTCACAGAGTAAGTCGAGAGTAAGTCACAGAGTAAGTCACAGAGTAAGTCACAGAGTAAGTCACAGAGTCATAGAGTAGTCAAGTGAGTAAGTCACAGAGTCCTCAAGTTCATAGAGTCATAGAGTCATAGAGTAGTCAAGAGTAGTCAAGTTCGGTCTTAGAGTCATAGAGTCATAGGGTCATAGAGTCGTAGACTCAAGTGTCAAGTCATAAGGTCATGTGCTCGATTCTATGTTTGTCATCTATGTATCAAGTGTCAAGTCATAAGGTCATGTGCTCGATTCTATGTTTGTCATCTATGTACTTGTCTACCCGGCTCCGCACGGAAGAACCCTTCGCGACGCTTTCGGGAACACTGGTTGCGCTCATTGATGTTGTTGGTGATGACGGGACCAAGAATTCCAGACATAATGAATGGCATACAAAAACAAGATGAAATCATACATGACGGTATGGGTATTGCCCTCGCTGTGTAAGACCGTCGTGAACCACACAGCACGAGTGAGATGAAGATAAGAATGGAAACGAGCGCCCGCCTGCCGTTTCTCAGGACCTAGGTCGATCGCAGTATGTTTGCCTGGAGAAAGCGGGGAGTTTCGTTGGACACAGATCCTCTCCCCCTGGAGCTCTGTTGCTATTTACATCATGAGTCGTGCCTAAAGTTGAGACATTGGACAGATACACGATGATACACGAATGAGCAACATTTGTGGCTGATTTGCCAGCTCGCAAGCTTTCTAGCTGACGCCATTCGTATTTGTGCTTGCTTGTGTGTGTGTCTCTATTCGTGCATCGATTTCTCTCGCTGTGTTTATCCATGTTTCTCCATCAATGTGTCCATGGTGTACGTGTGCAACCATGTTGTGTGTACCTATGCACACACGCACACAAGTCAGTGCGTGTTGGACCCAGATGCGTGACAGGTATGTGCAAAATGTATGCGCGCAGTGTAGTGCAATACACTGTAATATCATGCCATGTAATGGAATGTACTCGAATGGTGCAAGGTAGGGCAAGGTAATGCGATGTCATGCAATGCAATCTAGTTTGATGTAATGTAATGTAATTTAAAGCAACGTACCGTTGAAAACAATAGTATGCACCTTGACGAGGCACTTGTGCGTGGTTGCAGTGTTTTTGTGCTCTTCGTTTGTTTGTATTAGTGACTGCAGAGGTTTCAGGTGCAAGGTGTTGTTACTAATCATGTTTGTTGCCAGTTTGTACGTACCTCGAAGAGTGAGTCGACCCCAGCATGGGGGGATCGAGATCGCAGGGGGACAAGCGGTTACGCGGACTTTCTCAACCCCGTGGCCTGACGAAGCTCTGCAGGACAACCTGGCAACCCTCGACGGAGCTCGAAAATCTGGCGCAAGCTAGCTCTTGAACCCGGATCAGTCTTCATGATTCTCAGCTGAACTCTGGCAGCGGTTGTGTCGGCCTCATAGGTACCCGGAAATGGAGTCATATAACCGCCAGGAATCGGAAAGTATTTGAAGCCCTCCTCTCACAGAAACGCATGCAGTAGAGTTGGAGAATAACGGGCCAATGGCTCCTTGTACGCAGAAGGATTGCTGAAGAACTTGCGGCTGTAGTGGTACAGATCGTTCAAGCGGGCTTGCTCCTGCAGCTTGTGGAAAGACTCCGGAGATGCGCGCTGTGGCGACTGCGAAGCCTCGTTGCTGAACTTGAGGATAACATACCTCATCTGGGGTGGATTCTTCATTGCATTGTTCTCTGGAGATTTCACAAGGCATGTCCACACACACCTGCTGAAAACTTGCCGGGTGGACCCTTTTGCCTGTAGTGCATCCAGTGCCTGCAGTGTCGATCCGTGCGAAGGGAGGTTGATGCACATTGCCACCAGCATCCAGTTTCACGACGGCGCAACAAGCTCTTGTAGAGTTGAGTCTGGTGCCCACTTCGGATGCTCGCTGCAGCAACCGTGCATGCGCAAGCAAGGGGGAGGAACACTCGGCAGGAACCTGGCAATAGACCACTTGAGTCCCAGATGTTTCTGCTCTGCCGTGGCCTTGATCTCTGAGTCGACCATGTCAGGCGACATCTCTTCCTTGGATCCCACTGGAAGCCAAGTCTAGCAATGCAACGAGATCAGTTGCTAAAAGATAAGCACAGTAAGACCGACCCATGGCGACACGAAGCACAGATCCTCCTCATGGCATGTTTCAATGAACTCTGGGCTTCAGTTGCCGTCCCGTCTTCATATGTACCTCCACGCGCAAACGCATGCTACCAGATTGGCCGCGATGTGAGTTGATCGTTCGCATAGCAGGGGAACCCGCAGAATGAAAGCCAAATGGGGTTTTTCAGAGACATGGTTGAGCTTGACGTCGCGCCGACAGTGACGGACAGCCGCCACCGCACATTCCGGAAGCCGCGTTATTCCGCACTGCGTTATTTGGCACCACTGCAGTCGCGAAACTGGACAAAACCATTTTGCCAAGGCAAGACGGACTTCCGGAGCTTGCAGGACGGATATGGAAGAAGCGCAGATGTAGCGTCTGGCGTTGCCAGCCCCCCCCCCAATGGTATGGTCTGCTAGGGGTGGGGGGGGGAAGGCTGGCTTGTGCAGAAAGGGGTCGAGGCCATTGGAGCTGCCACTGGATGGTGGGATGGTGCTGGCGGCCAGGGCTCACACGCAAGCCCTTCGCAAGCAAGCCGTAAACCCTATAACGCAGCGCGTGCCCCTGTTTTGAGTAACCTTAACTTGTACTTCAAACCCTACACCCAACTCTTAACCCCACCTAGCTGCAGGCTCTAAGCCTAGAGCAGAACATACACGGCAAATCCTCCTAAAGCCCTTGTCGACTCGAAGCCCAACACTCAAAAGCTCAAGCTAAACCCTAAACCCCAAAACCCCACAACCACCACAACAGGGGGCAGACGGATCCCACACCCCACACCACAGGGGAGGGGGGGTCCCACCCTATATCCGGACCATTGACCTGTTGGGGGGGAGGGGGGGGAGGGGGGGTGGGAGCGGGGGGGCCGTGGAGCGTGACCAATATGGTCACGCGCTCCGCAGCCCCCCCCCCCTCCCCCCCAAAGGTCAATGGTCCGGATATAGGGTGGGGCCCCCCCCCTCCCCTATGGTGTGGGGTGTGGGGTTCCTCTTCCTCCTGTGGGGTGGTTGTGGGGTTTTGGGGTTTAGGGTTTAGCTTAAGCTTTTGAGCTTTGGATTTACGGTTATAAGTTATAAGGTATAAGGCTTCGAGTCGACAAGGGCTTAGGGAGGATTTGCGGTGTATGCTCTGCTTTAGGCTTAGAGCCTGCAGTTAGGTGGGGTTTAGGTTGGGTCCAGCGTTTTAAATACAAGTTAAGGTTGCTCAAAACGGGGGCACGCGCTGCGTTGTAGGGTTTACGGCTTGCTTGCGAAGGGCTTGCGCGTGAGCCCTGGCCGCCAGCACCATCCCACCATCCAGTGGCAGCTCCAACAGCCCCCAACCCCTTTCCGCACACGCCAGGCCCCCCCCCCCCACCCCTATCAGACCATACCATTGGGAGGGGGGGGGGGGGGGCTGGGAACGCTCACGCGCTCCCCCTAAAGGTCAAGGTCCGGAAAAAGGGTGGGGCCCCCCCCTCCTCAGGCAGGCAGGTAGGGATGTTGGACAAGGTTTCGTGTTGAATTTGTTCGTGTCACGTGCACTTCTTACAACTGCTGTTATTGGGGAAGGGGCCTGTGGGCCTTTTGGGGCCTGGACCGCAACAACACCAAGCACTGCGTCAAAACATGGACTCTAGCAAGAAAGACATCAGGCTGTGAATGCAACATATCCAAGGCAGTGACGGGATAAGTCTGGGAAGTTGAGTGACTACCCAAATCTAAGATTGACAGAATCTCAGGATTCTAGTCACAGGTTCACCAGTTTTTGCCTAGCTGTTGAATTTGAAAGCAATGAGGAGACGAGCAAGGAAAGGAGCCGCAGAACCGATGCACTTGCAATGCCAGGAATAGTTTCTGGAAGAAGCAATCAGATTCCACCACGTTCCTGCCATGCTTCCAGCCGAAATGTCGAGCACAGCCGAAAGTCGGACTCTTGTGGCCTGAAGGGAACCCACCGGGACAAGCGACAAGAGCTAGGCAAGGCCGTTCTCAGAAGCTGACTCGGGAATGGCTGCTGCCTCTGATGCCTCGTCTCACACCCCGGCCAACTAAATGGAGGCATGCAGGGCTGTGGCGGCGGTGTGCAATTTCGCCGCTGTCTCATGCGTTTGCTCTTCAGGTCAGCGTACACTATCATCTGCTCTGAGGAAGCTCTATCTAAGCGTGTCGCTTGAAAGAAAAAGTCTTTTCGTTATTCTGCAGCTGAGGTTTCAGCCAGCTGCTCCCAGCAGCGCATGCTTGCATCGCTGACGATGGCACGCTGGACTTCCTAATACGAAGTTCCTCATGCATGCTAGAGTGCCATTCTCGGCGCCAGCTTTCATGCATGAGGCTTCTCTTGAGGGTTACACTTGAGCTTCAAACGTCTTCAGCCGGTGGCTGCTCTCAACAACTTGGGACACCAAACATTGGAGGTGAGACGGCAAAGTCTACTCCCAATATCTGTGCAGGTCCTGAGACTGCGCCTTTGGCTCCCCTGACTTGTCTCAGTTTCACCTTCGGCGGGCTGACACATCACCGCATGGAAGCCGAGACTCGAAAACACTCCAGCTAAAGGAATGAGTAACGGTTGCGGAGTTGACTGTCTGGCTGGGTGGATGGGACATAGGACTGTGGAGCCGGGCGAAGAAGTCAGTTTCACCCATTATCCTCGCCGGGTCAATAAGCCAACCCAGAGGCTCAAAGATTCACTGCGCTGCTGGTGAATTCACCCAAGGAAAACCTCCTGAGGAATCTCTCATCATCTCTCCCGTCAAGTCTGCGGAATTGTTTGCTCATGCTAGGCCGACGTCAGCTGATGCGGGCAGATCTCTTCAACTCCAAGCTGAAGAGCCTCGACGGTTTTGCCATGGATTTGCTGTGTGGCACCTGAGCTCAAGACCTCAGTGATCCAAGTGAGTTGCGGCACGGCAGGACGGGAAGAAAGAAGTGTGGGACAACGACACCTGCTCTGCAAACTTTGTGCTATTCCCAAGTCGCATCTGCCCTGTGCTGTTTGGCGATACGAGTAGTTTGACCAATGTCTGCACATCCAACCCAAACAGAAGCAAAAACAGGGTGCTGATCAACCTGTCGACCTGCAGAGTGGGTTATGCGAGTTGCGCTGGCCAAGACCTCCTCGGAAACGTTTCACCCTTCCATGACACGGAAATCGTTGGCAATCCAGACTGTTCACGAGCACAGCTTGTAGGTTTTGTCCACAGAGCGGGTCAGCTGGAATGTCCGACCACAGTACTTGAACGACTGCATGGGCTTGGCATTGCTCTCATTAGTCGCTCGGTACAGCTCACTGCGATGAAGAAGAACATGCAATGTCACAGCCGGGCGCAACACTTTTTCTCTCGCACCCGGTTCCTTGAACTCCACAAAGCCGAAGCCCTGGAGTGTTCGACAGGTTTATCTGTCTGACAGACCGCCACTCCTGCCTTGGGCTTCCCTGTCTTTTGGTTCATGACCACTGTGGCATCCTGCTTCCGTCTGGAAATTGTGGCGCCCACCGCTGGCGAATGAGGCTGTCCGTACACTGTTACACTTCGAGATGTCCTGGACAGTGCCGAACTGCTCAAAGTGTTTGCGCAGCTCCTTGTCGTCCACCCTGATGTGACAGCTGACAAATCCGCACAGAAAACGCATGCCCGGAAAGATCACTGCTTGACTCATCCATGCGGATAAGCATGTGACGAGGTTGGCAGCCCGCCGACAAAAATCCCACGACCCTCGTCCTGTCAGCAGTCACCGCTTGCAGGAGCGATGATGTGCCCCAGAGGTGTGCCTTGCCGTTACCATTGCTCGGCACACCTGCCATGTGTGGTTGAACTCCCCTCCCCCGCTCGGCCTTGCAAAATGAAACAAAGAAAGTGGCACTCTTACAAGCAAGTGCGAGCCTTCCCCCCCCATGTTGTAACTGTCTGGTGGTTTGGCAGATCACACACCCGCCCTCTCGCCCACGTTATCAGGATTTGATGGTCGCACCTCACCTCACCCGTCCCTCCATCTTGTAAGGAGCCATTCTCTTTGTAGTGGACGCCGCCCTGCATTCAGGACGCGAGACTAGAGTCTAGCGGCGGGGTTTCAGGGAGTTGTCGTGTACTTATCGACAATGGATCGCGCGCTTGGGCAAGAGTCTCCCTGAGGATGGTCGTTGTTTGCCTGAAACCCTAGCCGGCCCTAGCAGCAAAAAAACAACTTCTCGTACCGGGGCAATTTCGTTCGGAGTGACCCCTGCTGAGGCCCCAGAATGCTAAATTTCCCCAAAATCCGACGCCCAAAAGACGACTACAAGCCCGTTCTGAAAGCACTCTAAGGAAACAATGGTCGTACCGGGGCCAGTTTTGGAATGGGGGGTTCAGGGTATATAGACGAATCCTTTATACGATGGGGTGCGTGACTACGCCTGGGAAGAACCTCCATGTTGTAAGCCTAAATTGGGCTGAAACCCAACATGTGCTAGAAAATGAGGGGGTAATCCCACATGGGAAGGGGGATGTTCAACCGGCAAGCACACGACTGCCTGTCGGAGGATCAATGAACGGTCCCTTCGAAGGCAGTCAAATCATTAGCCATCTTCGATGTTTTACATCGCCCGGTCAAGCAACCCAGATTGAAAGCCGCGCACTCTGGACTTCTATGTGCTCGAGCAACTACCTACCTCGCTTCGGTTGACGCGTTATTTCCCGTGCATTGACGTGAACCCGTTGACTCCGCGAACCCAGGCCGTGACCTAAAGCCTGAACACGTTGACGTCTTTACGTCGTCGTTCCCGGCTTCATGTTGTCACGCTGTCGCTCAACACATGTGCACACCCCCCTTGAACATGAATAGAGATTCTGTCACTGCGAGAAGTGAAAGCAATCTGGACGTCGGCCACCATCTGTGCATGTTGCGAGCGCAAGGGCCTTCGCCTTGTGGCAGCTCTGGAAGCGAGGCAGTGCAGCAGTGGAATGTATCATTTGCGTCAAAAGTCTAGCCATGGCTAGGGGCGCGGCAGCTTCGACTGCCTGGCCACGGAGATGCCGACAAACGCACGCTGAACGAAACTGCGTCTCAGTCTCATTTCGAGAGAAGGACAGGCCGGGGCTGTAGAGCTGTGATGTGGAAAAGGTTCCATCACTGTTCCGTCTGACGGTCTCGAAATGAATTACATGATGACATGGTGTTGCCGAGTGCCACCGACTTCGAGCCATTTCGATCATGCTTCGAAGTTTCATCTGGAGTATACTGTAGATTCGTCATGACGAAGTGCCCAAGCCCAGACCTTTGGTGGAATGCTCCCAATAGTGTTCAAGTGGCTCAGGAGCTGAGAGACTGTCTGCAAGCCTATCATAAGTGTGGCCAGCCCTGATGCGAACCCGTTGGCTCGCAACTCTGCGAAGTTGTCACAACGGAGCGTCTAGTTCACACGGCCACAGCAGTAGGACAAGGAAGCAGCAGTGAGCAACCACAATGCACACATGCTGGCCTACATAACCAAGTTTCCTGCACCTTGTCAGCATCGCCCTTCTCGGGATCGGGTTGCCATCCTCTCGCACTGCACAGCTCAGAAATGACACGAAGAAGCGGCAAGATCCCTTGATCCGTGCCTAGAGCCATGACCTCGGAAAGCCGGTCAGGCTGCCATGTCAGGGCCCTCAACACAACGACAAAAACGCCCAAGGCCAGCGCGGGTGCAGGCACCGGGCTCCCCTTCAGCCTGCAAGGTACTGTAGCGAACCCCAAAACTCCATGTCATTTCATGGGTGATTCACTTTCAACTGCCTCTTGTTCCCTCCGTGTCCAGGCAAGTCTGCCTTAAGTCAACGAGATGGCAAAAAAATACAGCATGGTGTCAGTATGTTCCGTATGCCATGTGAGGCTGCATGCTCATATTTAGCTTCGGCGTTCGAGGAGTAGACTTGGTGCCTCTTCTGTGAGCCTTGAGAAGGCTCCACCTCACACCAGTCTGTCTCAGAGTTCTCTTCCGGCCCGAAGTGCTTAAATGATCAGCATCCTGGATTCCTGGATCTCGGGCTGCAGCTCCAGCAGAGTCCAACGCCTCCACGTCCACGACCTGTCGCACGAAGCCGAGTGGCTCAAGCTTGCTGCTACAGAACATGACAAACCTCATCGTCTCTGAGGACTTCTCGCACCTGCCCGGGGGCTCCACTTAAGTGTCCGCAAAGTGCAGTGGTCGGTGTGCTGTCATGCTTTCTGAGCCTGCACTGGCTGCCCAAAATCTCTCTTGCAACATGCGAAGTGGCTGCAACCCACAGTGAACGAAGGATTGGAACACGAACTCTCCTGAAAGCAATGGCCCACTGCAAACCCCGAAATCCTTTGCACACGAAGCGCCGGAAATCCTTGAATCAGAGCCGTGGCTTCTGAACAACATGTGGTTGATATCGAGCACATCAGCACACTTCGGTGCGAGTTTGCTCATGCCAGTTTCGTTAAGTAGACGATGCGAGATTTGATGTAAGAACTGATGTGCCTTGGACTGTGAGGAAACAAGCCACTTCCATTGACTTGCGCATTGGACCTCCTCATCATGTGGCACCATGAAGCCATCGAGCCTCAGCGACCATTACGGCCTTACAGCTTCATCAAGCTTCGCGCACTAAAGCTATGCATGCGCCTGGTGTAGATCATACGTGCTCCCGTTCAAACCCGTCTTGCAGCCACTCGAAAATCGCTGAGGCTCATTGCATGCACTCACAACATATTCTACAGGAGCTGCGAAAATTCATCATAAACACGGGATCCGGCAAGATCTGCGGAAGCTCGGCATTGCCACCATGGAGGTTCAGCTCTGCCAGGATGCAAACAGCTGAAGGTTCAACGGAATCAGCGAAAGTTGCATCAGACATCACAAACAAGGTCTGAGCGCTGCAAGGCGAAGGATCACAGATGCACTGCCCGCAAGAATGCCAGAATGAATCCCCTAAACACGTGTGACGTGTCAAACTTTGACGGAAGCTCAAACTCTTTGGGGTAATCAGACTGACGTTTTGCTGGCACGGTACGCTCTACAACGACCAGTCCACTTCAAAGTCTCAGACGACAACAGGTTTCGAAACCCGATCTTGCCTGGAGCACAGTTGTCGCACAGTCGGCAATTGGAGGCATGCAATGTCAACAGGCACTGGCACAATCACATGCACCTCGTGGCGCTGTCACTCCAGTTTCGAGAGGCTCTACGAAACTAGCTGAGCTGAGTTTTGCAGGACCCTTATCCTCGACTGTCTCTAAGGTGCTCTAGACGTTTGATGTAGCGCCAGGTCTGATTTTCAAGATACAATGAATCAAAATCCGGCTTCGCTCTTCGACATGTACCATGAGGACAATGGAGGTCTCCCAAATGACATAAGATGGCACAAGCCGACGGTTTGCATGGAAAATCCAATGATCATGCAGAGCTCGATGTCGCGGCTGAGAATTGGAGGCAGCAGCCAAGTCTCGCATGCGATACAAACATGTGGACACACAATGTTTGGAGTTGTGACCCAACTTCGGACACTCTGAATACTCTTCATGGCAGCAGATTTGTAAGCTTCGGTGTTCAACATTCCATAACAGCACGTTCGAGGAGGCGGTAGATCTGGACATGGATCGGCAATACTGCAGAATGTTCCGAAGAGAAAGGCAGAAGAAAAAACTCAACCTGGCGAACTTGCTGGTTGCACGATCGAAGTTTGCGAACTTGTGCAGACAGGCCTTGACGCGTCTTGTGAAGAAGTTAAACTTGTCAACAGGCCCGTCAGCGATTTCGGGCCGAAGTGGCATTTCGCATGTCCTCCTTGGTCACGATTCAACCCGCAAATCGTGAGCATCGGGCTTTTAGCTTTAAAATCGTAGATAAACTCGTGGTTGGGCCAAGTGCTTGTGGAGTTGGCTTGTAGAGACTGCTGTTCGGATTCACTGGAACTATGGATCGATGCAGACAAACAACTGGGTTAAATTCCCACACAAACGAAGCCGACGAAGCTCGGGCAAGTTCGGAGAGGCGCTGGTGTTTCTGAGACAGTCGCTGTTGAGCCTTCCGCGCTGATGTCAATTCGGGCTCCGTGCAGCTGTCATCATCGACGGGCACAAGCCAAGAAATAGCCCAATCTGAATCTGTTGGCATGAGAAGCAGCGAACAGGATAGGCTTCTGCAGCCTGTCGAGGTCAGAGGTGAAGAGGGAAGGACTCAATAAGATCAGTAGCTGAGTGTCCCCCATGTCTTCAATTTCGATGCAGAGCGCCCTCGCATTCGGGCGGGGCAAAGAACATTAGAAGATGAAAGTGGGGACAGTGAAAACAGTCCAAAGCGGGTCGTTGCAGAAGGTTAAGGATGTACTGCCTGCTGCTCGTGCTGTTGCAACTTTTGGCTGTGAGACCAAACACTGTGTAGAGTAATTAATCCGCCGAGGCCAGAGGCCCAGGCGTCTTGGGGATTCCTGACCTCAGGAACTCCTCCCGCAGTCCAAATGTTTGGGGACACCCGCTTTTTGCGTTCGTTTGCCACCCCCTTGCCCGGCTTCCCCTCATTTTACCTGATTTGTCGGCCCCCCCCCCCCCCTCCCAGGCCCATCGCACCCCCACCCCCCCTCCCCCCCCCCCCTTCCCCCTCCCCCCTGTGTGCCGATACACCCAAAGGAATACTCCTTGTTAGGAGGTGTATGACCAGTTATTCCCTAAGGATCAAAGGGCAGCGCCCTGCACACGGACAGTAGTTGTTTTGTCTTGCTACGCAAGGAGAGCTTGTCTTGTCTCAATATGGTAAAACCACTGTGAGCCAATGGGCAGCGGAATGTATATGTATGAGCATGCAGCCATTGCTGTAGGTACCTGTTAGAGCTACCCCTTTAGAGGTTTATGGTTTCAAACAGACACTAATTTTCTTTTACCGGAAGCATGGCCGCACATTCACACATATACTATTATGCCCACTGTCACAGTTGCGGAGTCTGGACTCATGATGAAAACAGCATATTATTTAAGCTAGGTATAGCACTGAAGTACACTGCTGAGGACACTCCTTTTGCACACACTCATGCATGTTGGTCAGAGAGATCGTCTGTACAAGATCATGTCTGGTGATATTTTCTACATCGAATTATGCAGCCCTTCACTTTGCTCTTGTTAGAGCTTTGTGAGTCACTGTTGTGAAACTCTGAGATTTTCCTTATCTCAGATTTGGATCCAGGTTTGGATCATAGGCTCGAGCGTAGACGTTCGGATGTGGCTCATCCGGGTCTGAGTGATCTTCTTCGGAACTTGAATAAATTCCGAGTAGTCTGTTCTCAGCCCTGGTGAAGGCGGCGTCTGCAGTATCATATCCATGGTTGGATGTTGTCGCCTTTGGCTCGGCCTTTGGCGCAGCTTGTGAGCTGACTGGAGTTGCCTTGGCTTTAGCCGGTTGTGGCTGCTTAGCCTTTGCCCGTTCAGCCCTTCTTCTTTCAAGCTGTCCGTCTGAGGACGCCCATGATCTTTCACTTTCATCTCCTGAAGGAGATAAGGCGTGGGCATAAAGGCTATTCCAGTACTGTGCTGCAGAAGGAGTTAGGACTTCTTCATTGTCAGATTCTGACTGGTCTTCCTCAGAGCTTTGGTCGTCAAAGAGTGTCTCGAGGACATTTTTGAGATTGTTATTTCTTCGCTCTATCTCTAGTGAGGAATGGACCAATTGGTTAAAGACTGTCCTTGAGTCCTTCAGTGCTGTTAGAAGGATTTCCACTCTGGATAGAGTATCTTGGATGGTGTCAAGATGTTCCTTCCTTTCCTCCTTGTCTCTCTGGATAGAGCTTCGCAATGATTGTGCGATTCTGAGGAGGTCTGTGTATTTCGTAAGAGGCATAGTTACCGTTTGATTGTCATGTATGACAGTTGTTTCGTCGCCGCTTAAGTTCCTGAATAGGACTTCCACGACTGGTAGAAACTCCGTGCTCCACGGTTCCTCTTCATCATATGTTTCTACGTGCTGTAGCACGCGTTGTGTAAACTGATCGGCTGCTTCTACCGTTGCATCGATAGAGCTGACGTGTCTTGCTGCCATGTTTCGGCACGTAATGTTAATTGCCTGGCCTTGATTGGCTTCGTTAAGTGCAGCGTCTGCATAGGTGCAGAGTCCACTGTTGTGGGCTTCTCTGGCTGCCTTTCGTTGAATGCGCCGATTTTGACCTCCTCTTCTGGTAGGACCTTTTGGTCTCGGAGGATCTGAAGGTACTGTTCCTTTCGCCTTTGGCGGAGGACTCTTAGGTGGAGGTGACATGTTTGCCTTGTTAGGCACTGGTGGCATTGCCTTGGGCGCTGACGACGATGCGGCACTTGAGAGTGCAGATGTACCTTTGGCTTTTGCCGAGGATCCCTTGGGGATCGATGTATAGGTAATCTGCATGGCTTCTTCGGCCATTTGTGCATGCAATGCATCTTTGAATAATTGCGTCATATGAGGAGTGGTACTTGCATCATCGTAGGTCTGGAAGCGCTCAATGTCTCTTTCGGTGCCACGTGGACGTGTATCACCTCTTTGAAAAGGATCGTTCCTGCGAATCTCCGCAACTTGTACTGCATGGAGGCAGTTTTTGCACAGCACCTTCCTGCAAACATCTCTTGCTTGCTTGAGCTGGTAACAGCTGTCTGAGAGATGGTAGACTTCGCTTCGGGAAGTATGCCAGATAGGTCGCAGATCAGTTGTTTCTCCGGAATTGACCCTGTTGGGTCCTAAAGGTTCACGCGTCTGCGGTTCATCCTCGGGTTCGAGGAATGGAACTCTTTGGTTCGCTGCTGCTTTTGATTTTGGTTGTTGGCGCTCCATACATCTGATAGGAGGCCTGGTAATCTGCTTCCACATCCAGTGTAAGCCCATTAGCAGCAGAAACACATTCCACGCGATGCTGAAGACGGAGAAGTCCTGCTCACTGGTTAGTGAGTTTGGAAGTGAAGTTTCATCAGTCTTGATAGACTCTGCGTTCGCTCCACCTTGGTTGCGGTGTCCGAACCAGCCCGACAACCCCGCTGCTGTAGCAGCTGTTCTGAGTGCCTTGCCGCTCGGAGCAGACGGTGGACGCGATGCCTTCCTTCTTCTCCTCCGGCTGGAGGATTCGTCCTCTTGTTCCTCTTCATCTCTCTGAGCAGACATCAAGTTTGATGTTTCTCTTTCGTGTTCTTCGATGTCACTTTTTGTTGGTGACGGTTCCTCTTCTAGTCCATCCAGCTCTTCCAAAGACATGTTGAGCTTGTCAACAATATTGGTTCTTTGAGGCCTGGACCTTGATCTTGGTAGATCTTGTTGTGAAGAGGACGATGATTCCTGGTTCCTTCTTGGAGGAGGACCTTCAGGCTCGCTGGGACGTTCAGGCTGTGGCCATTCCCAGAATCTTCCGTATCTGTGATGGCTACCTGATGGTTGCGATCTGTCGTACCAGCTGTTGCCGGATGAGTAAACGAATGAATCTTTGTAACCCCAGTATTCAGCATTACGCTGCTTGAAAGCCTTTCGCTTGTCAGCGATCTTCTGAACCTGGGCATCTGACCGGTTGTGTTTCCCTTTTGTAAGGATTGGTTGTATCGTGAAGC